CTACCCCCCACCCCCCACCACACCACCACACCACCACCACCCACCACACCACCACACCACCCACCACACACACACACACAGCGCATCACCACTCACGGTTTGCGAGCGGATGACGACGATGACGGTGCTGTTTCTTCATCACGAGTGCGGCGCTCACTCTCCACAACCCTCCTCTCTCTCTCATCATCACCACCATCACGCCGTGAAGGCGACGGCGACCGTGATCGACGTCGTTCACTCTCCCGTTCTCTGCTCCCATCGCGCTCCCCACGGCTGTAGCGCTCACGACCGTACCTGCGCCCCCTGTCCCGGCTCCTGCTCCTGCTCCTGCTGCGTCTGCGTGTGCGTGTGCGATCTGACGGCGAAATGCTGCGATCGCGCGAGTCACGGTGGCGACGGTGACGGCGGCGGTCATCGTAGTCGTCATCATCGTGGCGGCGTGAGCGCCTGTCACGGTCACGATCACGATGGTAGCGGCGGCTGTATCGATCACGGTCGTCGTAGTCGTCATGATCATGACTTCGGCTGCGGCTGCGGTGTCGCCTCCTCGTCCGGCTGTCGCTGCGCCCAGACCGATCACGATCACGATCACGATCACGATCACGATCACGATCACGATCACGATCACGATCACGATCACGATCACGATCACGATCACGATCACGATCACGATCACGACCTCTGCTGCTGCTTCTGCTGCGATGCCGGCCGCCGCGCTCCCTGCTGCGGCTGTGGCTGCGGCTGCGGCTGCGTCTCGGGGAACGCGATGGTGATCGGCGGCGATGATGATGACGATCACTCTCATCACCGCTGCCATCACCACCGGTCCTGCCCTCTTCCTCGTCCTCTTCGCCCTCTTCCTCGTCCTCCTCTGCCTTTCGCTTCTGCGCGTCACCACCATCACCACCCCCACTACCGGTTGTGTCTTCTTCTCCTCCTCCTCCTGTTCCTGCTGCTGCTGCTGCCTGCAGCTCGCCCTCAAAGTCGTCGAGTTCGTCCTCGAGCAGCGAGCGCCGCGGCTCAAGCTCGTCGTTCACCTCAAGCGCATACCGCTTCTGCAAGAGGTGGGGCGAGTGCATGTGTGTACGTGAGGGAGGGAGAATGTGTGTGTGTGTGTGTGTGTGCAAGTGAGTGAGTGAGTGAGTGAGTGAGTGAGTGAGTGAGTGAGTGAGTGAGTGAGTGAGTGAGTGAGTGAGTGAGTGAGTGAGTGAGTGAGTGAGTGAGTGAGTGAGTGTGTGTGTGTGTGTGTGTGTGTGTGTGTGTGTGTGTGTGTGTGAGGGCGGTCCTCCACGAGACTGAGCGTGTGCATGCGACTCCTCGTCGATCACAACGACTACCACCACCACCACCACGATCACCATTATTAACACCACCACGAACCTGGATACGAGGGAGGCCAATATCACACACGCGGTCCTCTCGAAGAAGCTCGTCAACGAATTCGTCCATGTGCGTCAGCTCCATCACTAACAGGACAGTGGTGCGTTGCGTGGATGGACAGTGCATGTAAGGCGTGCGTTGGCCAGGGCGTGAGCACAGCGCTGTTGATGAGATTGATAATGACAACAGACGCGAACAGTGGAGGCAGGGGCGAATGCAAGCATGTGCGAGCAGCTGATGCACACACACACACAAGCACACACGCACACGCACGCACACACACACAAGCACACACGCACACGCACGCGCACACACACACACACGCACACGCACGCACACACACACACACACACGCACACACACACACACAAAGGCAAGCTGCATGTTCACACGCGCCAGTGGCACGACTACACACCTCCATTTCTGCTCATGCGTTTGAGCTTGCGGTAATCGTTCAGCAGCGGCTCAATGTACTGCAGAGGGAGGAGAAAGGAGAGCGGAAGGTGAGCGCACTTGATCAAGGAAGTGCAGGTGAGTGTGTGTGGTGTAAGTGTGCGAGCATTCGCGTGCTGTGCTGGAACAGCAAGAGAGCGCAACCACCGAACAGCATGCAGGCTGCGTGGCCCCTCCTTACCCGGTAGCAATCCATCGAAGTGCCGACCAGTCGCAGGTAGAATGCGCCCAGTGCCCTGAGGTACCTGGAGGGGCAGAGCCAGCGCACGTGGCTGGTCAGTACCAGCCTTGCACGTGCAAGTGGAAGGGTGCAGAGACAGAGAGAGAGAGGGAGGAAGCAAAAGAGGAACACAGCGCCCCACCACCACTCAAAACTCCGATTCTCCCCCACCCACCCACACAACACACCCACACCCACACCCACCCACCCACACAACACACCCACACCCACACAACACACACACACACTGACTTGAAGTCCTCGTTCTTGATGTACTCGATGATGATGTCTTTGTCTGGCTGAAGCTGCAGCAGCTTGAGTGTGAGGCAGAGGAACGGCGTGGGTCGAATGTTGCCGCCATACACGCCGCCAACATATGTCAGTTCCACCGCCTTTTCGATCACCGTCTCCGCTGTGAACGAGAGCGCACGCGTTTGATGTGAATCAGGTGTGGGGGGGGGGAAGGGAGGGGAAGGGAGGGTGAACACGTGCATGAAGAGAGGTGGAGGAAGCGGACGGAGATGGGAGAAGGAAAGGAAGAGAGAAATACAACTTTGCCACAACACACAGACACACAGAGATACACACATACACACACACACACACACACACAAACAGTCACACACACAGACGCAGACACACACATACACACAGACAGTCACACACACAGACACAGACCTGTGAGAGCAAAGCACTGCTCTTTCCAATACAAAGTTTCATAGATGCGGCTGCGAATGATCTTGTCAACGATAAACTGCGGGTTTGTGCCATGCACAGACCGTGCGTCCTTCACTGTGCGGTTGGCCATCCTTGCGTCTCACACACACACACGCACCACCACAGGCAGGAGGCTAGTAGACACTGATCAACGCACTCACGTCACCCGCTTCGACCACAAACACACTCGTACACCACGTTGCCTTCTCCTTCTTCGTCGTCGTCCCACCAACCACAACGTCCACAACGTCTCCTTCTTCTGCGTTCGCTCTTGCAGAATAAAAATTATTGCGTCGACAATACCGAAAATTATAGGAAAACACCCACAATTTATCCGTGGGAAGGAACGGCGCTGTCATCGTCGCCGTCTTGTTGTTGCTTTCAGTCCATCAAAGAGGAGAAGAAGAGGAAGAAAGGAAAGACACACAAACGACAGCAACCGCTTGCTTGCTTGTCTGGCTTTTTGTTTTGTTTTGTGGCTGTGTCGTCCAACCAACCACAGTCAGCACGAGAAGCACACGCTCCACGACGACGACACACGACGCACGACGCACGAGGCAGAGAGAGGTATCAGATACAGAGGACACGCCTGCTTTCAGCTCCGGAGTTTTTCTTTTCGGAGAAGAAGACGTCGTTCCACACACACGAACGTTGCACTTGATTGGCGCGACATTTTTGTGGACGTCCACTTGTTGCTTCTCTTACCTCTTTGTGTGAACACCTTTCTTCATCTTCAGGTTCTGCCATCAAGCAACGGTGTCAAGTAAGCCAGAAGTCAAGAGCAGCAGACAGTCACTGCTCTCACATTCCCCGAACACACACACACACACACACATACGCTTGACGGTCGGACGTGGCACAACGGGGAGCCATGTTCCGCAGTCAGCTGAACCCATACCTACAACGGCAGCATCAGCAACAGCAAGAGATGCTGCAGGAGCCCGAGCCCGACGCATTAGTGGACGCCTGCGACAGTGTCCGAGTGTTCCTGGCCGATGGCTTCTCCACCTTTGCCTCATTTGTTGACTTTGTGCTTCCAACTCAGGTGTGCGTGTGCGTGTGCGTGTGCGTGTGCGTGTGCGTGTGCGTGTGTGTGTGCGTGTGTGCGTGTGTGCGTGTGTGCGTGTGTATGTGCGTGTGTGTGTGCGTGTGCTTGTGCTGCGTCAGTGTGATGAGGTTTCGACGGGTGGTGTGGCAGCGGAGTTGAGCGCTGACACCTACCAATCGTGGCTATTGTTGTTGTCTTAGCTGCCTGCCACCGTGCGTGTCTCAACCACGCAACGCCAAACCATCCCCGCTGCCGACCCACCCACCCACTCACTCACTCACTCACTCACTCACTCACTCACTCACTCACTCACTCACCCACTCACTCACTTACACACACTCACAGGATGACACGATCCAAGAAGACTTTGAGGGCCTGCCCGAGCTGTTCCAGGATGCCGCTCGCATCCTCACCACCAGCGACAACCTGGCCAAGGACTTTGGCGAGCTCGTGGCATACAAACGCGCCTTTCTTCGACGTACGCCGTTGTAGTCGTTGTTTGTTTGTTTGTTAGTTAGTTTGTTTGTTTGTTAGTTAGTTTGTTTGTTTGGCGATCCCTCGTCGCTGTGTTGCCTCAAGCGCTGTGTTATCTGGGCACTGAGCCACTGTCCATTGCTTTCTCACCCCTCACACACACACTCACTCACTCACTCCGTCTCACTCTGTCACACACACACACACACACACACACACACACACACACACACACACACACACACACACACACACACACACTCGCTCACTCGGACACATCTCTGCAGAAGTGATCATGCTGCCGCCTGAGGATGCGCTGGCAGCAACAGAGACGGCGCCCACCCCATTCCAGGCATCTGGTGCGTCACCGTTTCTGTTGGTGCCTACTGCTGCTTCTTCTTGACACACTTCCGCTGCAGTCCCCTGCAGCTTGCACGGGAGGCGCGAGACACCCTGCATGCACTGTGTGCTTGAATTGTTACAGCACATCCTTCATTGCTCCATTGTTCACATACCCCGCATGGTGACGCGTGCAGGTGCCACGTCGTCATCAGCGCCCAGCAACGTGACGCACGCGCCGCTGGCCGAGCTGACGCTGGCGCTGCTGCCGCCACTGCTGGAGTCGCAGAGCGCCGTTGACTCGTCGCTCATCAAGTCCACGGTGCAGGCCATGCTCAACTTCCTCAAGTCCCTCTCCCCGCAGGGGCTCAAGGTGCGCATGTTGGAGTATAAGGGAAGGGTGAAATACATAATACGTGGCGTGTGTGTGCGTGGTGTGTGTGTGCGTGTGGATGTGTGCGTGTGTGTGATGGTGTGCGCATTTCTGTGTTTGTGCCAGCGATTAGAACGCTCAACAGTCCACACAACAACGACAACACCACCACCACTCACCAATTCAATCCAACCCCCCTCCTCTCGTGCAGGGAGTGCCGCCAACGGCGCTGCTTGGCCTTGAGAACCTGCTGATCCGCTGGCTGAGCACAGAGCGGGACGTGCTGGACAAAGTTGGCGTCAAACTGGAGGACATTGCAGGTGCCGTCGTCGCTCTCAGCGTCGCAAGGTGTGTGTGTGTGTGCGTGCGTGTCTGTGGCTGTGGTTGTGTGTGTGCGCGTATGCGGGTGTTGTAATTGTAGGTGATTGTGTGCGTGTCTGTGGCTGTGATTTGTGCTTGTGGGTGCAAGTGTTTGCTGTGGCTGTGTGATCACACATGGGTTTTGTCCAGTCACATTCCGCCATCAGCTCATTGAAACCATCGCATGTCCCTCTCCCTCTTCACATCTCCATCCACAGGGATGACCTCAACAGCTACGTGGACACGCTGCACCTCATTGTGAACAGCATCGACTGTGCCGTCAACCTCCCCATTGGCGAATACCTCGAGCACTTTGCCCTCAACCAGCCCCGGTACGCCACACACCCTCCTCCACAGCGCTGCCGTCTCGTGTGTTTTGCGTATGTTGTGTGTGTGTGTTTTGTGTGTGTGTGTTGTGTGTGTTTTGTGTATGTTTTGTGTGGTTGTGTGTGGTTGTGCATGAGTGATGTGGCACGCGCGAGTGTGCGTGACCTTGCAGTTTTGCGAGCACTTGCGAAGCACCTGCATTCGTTGAGTTGTGTTCGCCTCGACTTCCACGTACTGCGGTCTCACCACCACCACACGTGCACACATGTATGCATGTGCACACGTACAGCATGCTGCCCAGCACATTCCTACAATCCCGCGGCTGGACATATGCAAACCCCCTTCAGAAAGACAGTGCGTCGTTGTTGTTTTGTTGGCCTCAGATTGTTTGGTTGTTGCATACAGTGGGCAGCATGGCTACTTCCTTTTTCCTTTCTGCTTGCGGTTTTCCTTTCTGCTTGCGGTTCTCCCTGACTGATGGCGGGTCGTTGTTCCCTCCACGCACGTCGCTGAACCACTTGCTGAAGCCGCTCAATTCGATCCCACCACCACCACCACCACCACCACCACCACCACCAACTCACCGACGCCAACTCACTGACGCCAACCACACGTGGCCCATGTCCTGTCCTCTTTATGTGTGTGTGTGTGTGCAGGCGGCGTGACGATCAAACACCCGAAGCATCGCCACCCACTCCAACTCACCACGCGCGACTCTGGCTGGAACTGCGACGGTGAGCCCACGTGCCCATGGTTCACTTGGTTCACTTGTGTAGGCTGCTGTTCATTCATATGAGCGACTAGGCCACAGTCTTTCCCTTGCTGTTCTGCCCAATCTTGTTCCTCTTCCTGCGATCATGCTTGTCTTGCTTCTCTCCCACATCCACCCACTCACGCTTCCACACCTACACACCTCATCGCGCCACCACGGCCAGGTCCGTGCGGGCACAAGAGCAGCAAATCGCCCTTCATCATGCCGCGCTTCCGCTGCTCCGGAGGTACAAGCAGACACGGAAACACACATACACACGAAATCCGACAGACAGACAGACAGACAGACAGACAGACAGACAGACAGACAGACACACAAACCAACACACACAGACACACAGACACACAGACACACACACACACACACACACACACACACACACACACACAAACCAACACACACAGACACACAAACCAACACACACGCACACACTTCGCTCATTCTCACTCCACCCCATCCTCTTTTCCCCCTCTGTCGCGTGCGTGCAGGGTGCGACTATGACCTGTGCATGTACTGCGTGGCGGGCGTGTACTGCCGCGGCAACTCGATGGTGGCCAAGGACGGCTACCTCTACGTCACGGACAGCAGAGCGTCGGGCATCTACAAGCTCGGCTCGGGCGCATGCGGCACAGCCAGTGCCCAAATCAAGCAATCACAGTCGGGTGCGTTGTTATTTTGCTTTGGCGCAGTCCCTTTGACAGGTTATTCCAATCCATCACACACACACACACACCGCCTTTTTGTCCTCCGACCAAGCTCTTACACACACACACACACACACACACACACACACGCAGGCTCCTTCCGCGGGTATGCTGCGTTTGCCAAGGAGCTGCTGCTGTTCTTCCGCGTGTCAAACCACCGCAAGGGCTGCCTTGCCGACATCTACGACCGCGTGACCCTCAAGTCCATTGGCAGCGTGCTGCGTCCCAAGGACCTGAGCAGCGAGGAGGACGGGCAGCGCCGCCGCAACGTGCTGCACGTCGCAGCAGCAGGCGACCACGTCTACCGCATCTCCTTTGCAGACAACTCGACCTGCTGCGATATTGTTGTGGAGCAGTTTGCCGTGGACGCCGACGACTTTACCCCGCACCGCGTGGAGTGCGTCATCAAGAAGGGCTGCATTGTGTTTGGCTCCGACCTGTACCACGGCGTGCCCAACTGCGGCCCTGTTGTCACGCAGGCCTCCAGCTCCATCCACGCCGTGACTGGCGACGAGCTCATCTCCATTGACGGCACGCGCGTGCGCGACACGGAGCACGCCACCAAGCTGCTTGAGGACAACGCCACCAAGCACGCCGTGTTTGTGCGTCGCGCCATCCCCTCCCGCCTGGTGCGTCGCTTCACGCTGACGGCGCCCTCAGACCCCGCCGCTGCTGCCGCCGCCACAGCCAACATGCTGGCATGCATCCACGGCACGCGTGCTGTTGGTGGCGGCCCGAACGGCGGCGGCGGCGCTGCTGCCACCTCCGCCGGCAACGGCCCAGCAGCCGTCGCGGGGCCGTGGCCGAGCGAGAGCATGTTTGAGAAGCTGCCCTGCGGCCTACCGCGCGTGTTTGCTGCGGTGGGCACCTATGTTGTCACGCACGACTCGCTCATCCTGTACAACACGCTGTTCCCCTCGCGGGAGACGCTTGGCTTTGGGCACCGGCCCGACCAGGCCATGGACACGGGCCGCGTCGTGTCGCACGTGTTTGACCTCACCACGGGCGAGCTGCGGCCAGAGTCGCCCTACCCAACGCTGTACGTGTCGCCCACCAACCCGCTGTACAGCGCAAAGCACGCCCAGCTCCTGGCCTGCCTGGATGCAGACGTCGACTGCACGTGGACGCTGTGCGGCGACCGCGTGGACTGCTGGCGCAACACGGGCCTGCCACTCAACATCCGCCTCGACACGTCCCCGTCCTACGTTGTCGACCTCCTGCGCTCCAGCAGCTGCCACATCACCGCCGTCAAGCGCGTGTTCTGCCAGAGCGTGTGCGCCAGCTGCCAGCAGCTGGCAGGCTTCTCCAAGGACGAGGTTGCTGCCACCACGCTGCCGCGCCTGATAGAGCTGCTGGAGCACTTTCTGCAGGAGGGCGAGCACGACTGCCTCGTGTTCATCCTCCTCGCCCTGGCGCAGCTCACGCCAGACCTGTCCTCGACAGAGGTGGACCAAGACGCCATCGCACACCTCAAGTCGCTCCTCTTCAAGTGCCTCGGCGTGCCCGACCGCCCCGATGTCGTGCGCGCCGCCACAAACGTGATCTCCACCAGCCTCGTCCTCTTCTACCCGCTGCTGGAGGACGTGCCCACGCTTGTGCGCGAGCTGGTGCTGCCAACCGATCTGCCGCAGCACGTGCGCGACGCCATGCGCGGCGACGTGCTTGGCCTCATTGAGGGCGTGCCGCCGCTGGACCTGCCGCGCTCCCTGGTGGAGCTGCTGCTGCAGGGCCTGGACGAGGCGCTGGTGCAGACGGAGGCGGCCATTGCAGACGTCAAGCGCGGCGTGCACGACCACGTCCGCGTCAACGAGGCGACGGTGGGAGGGCTGGCACTCATTCAGTACCTGTGCAACGCTGCCCACGCCGCGCAGCACAGCAGGGCCGATGAGACGCACGACGTCGAGCCAGCGGAACACCAGGAGCAGCAAGGGGACGCCAGCACTGAACAACAACAACAACAACAACAACAACAACAACAACAACAACAACAACAACAACAACAGAAGACTTCGACGGAGGCCGAGGCCCCGCTGACATGGAGCGAGCTGCAGCGCAAGGTGCTGCTGTCCACCACCGATGTTGTGGTGAAGATTGTGACAAAGGCCAGGGCCGCCCTTGTCGATATCAAGAAGCAGCAGCGGCGCCTGGCCATGGCTAGCCGCGGCAGCCTCACGCGCGATGACGCAATCAAGCAGCAGCAGGACTCGCAGCAGCAACAACAACAACAGCAACAGCAACAACAAGAATCCCAGGGGTTGTCGTCGTCGGCGCAGGGCAGCCCAGCGACCCGTCGCCGCGCAGCAAGCGCCGGTGGCGTGCATGATGCAGCAGCGGCGCAGGCGTTGGAGGCGGCTGCACGCGGCGTTGTTGACGTGGTCAAGTGCACGGCGGGCACCCTCGCCTCGCTGGTGCTGCTGGCCACGGACGAGCCCACGCAGTTTGACGAGGAGCAGCTCAAGGCCCTGCGGGAGGTGAGCCTGCACTTCCACGCCTTCCTTGCCCTTACACCCGAGGTCGATGCGGACGGCAGCGTGTCCAAGCCCTGGGAGGAGAAGATTGTTGTGGAGTCGCAGCACCCTTTGCCCGAGGCATACCGCTTCACCAAGACCATCAGCATGCCCGGCGCGCAGGGGCTTGTGTTGCATTTTGACCCGCGGTGCTCGTCCCAGTACGACTACGACAAGCTGTTCATCTACGCGAGCCCGACGCCCAGCGGCGCCCGCGTGGCGTCGTTTGGCGGTAACCACCTTGGCTATGGCGGTGGCGGCGGCACGTGGCCACGGCAGCCCGTGCGGGTGCCTGGCAACACTGTCACGCTGCAGTTTGAGATGAAGAGCGCACGCGAGGCGCAGACGCCGCCAGAGGCCATGTGGGGCTTCTCCGTCACCGTGGCCGCGCAGAGCTCATCGGCCTCCTCCTCGTCGTCATCAGCGTCCGAGGAGGGCAAGAGCACCACTGCCATGGGCCTGCTCGCCGATGTTCAGCTCGCCCTGCTCAACCGCATCGTTGTGATTGTGGAGACGCTGTTTGGCGTGCCGCCTGCGGAGGCTGTGGAGGACCATGTGCTTGGTCTCATGCCGGCCAACCTCATCAAGAGCATCCCCTGGGAAGCTCTCATCCGCCCACAGCAGCAACAACAACAGCAGCAACAGCAGCAACAAGAGCAGCAAACGTCGGGGAGACCCTCACCGGCATCTGCAGCGTCAGGGTGGATGCAGGAGCTGCACGAGCAGAGCGACGCGCGCCTGCTATCTCTGGAAGACGCACGCGCCCTGCGCACCAAGTACGGCACGTCCGACCTCCTGCGCCTTCCGCGCCGCATCCAGCAGGCCGTGTGCACGTCGGAGGTTGATCGCCACATGCTCACGCTGCTGCTGGACCAGGTTGGCGCGCGGCATGACGTGGCCCGGCTGCTTCGTGGCGAGATGGACGACTACCTGCGCTGGCTGGCGGATTTCCTGCGCCAGTGCTTCCAGCGCATCTCCACGTTTCTGCGCCGCCTCGTCAGCGTGGCAAACATGGAGCAGCAGTGGGCGTTTGCCCTGGAGAGCGCAGTGGAGGCGGGCGCCATCACAGAGCTCTTCTTCTTCAGCTGGCAGCACGAGGTGCAGAGCAAGCACCCGCACTTCAAGGACTTGGCCAACCTGGGCCTGCTGTTCTGCCCCAAGCTGAAGGGCGCCGCCCCCGACGCCCTCGTGGACGCGCTCTCTGCCGAGTTTAAGGAGCAGTTTGAGGGGTACATGGCCCCCGTGCGCGAGCAGCAGCGGAAGCGCGAGGAGCGGAAGCGCGAGAAGGAGAAGGCAAAGAAGGAGAAGGAGGCGAAAGAAGCAGCAGCAAAGGCCACCCAGCAGCAGCAAGCACAGGCGGAGGGACAGGAGGGCCAACAACAAGGCGCCCAAGCAGGGGATGAGCAGCAACGCGTGGAGCGGGAGACGAGCAACACCGCCCCGCCCTCCCGCCAGTACAGCCAGTCTGTGACGCCGCAGGATGTTGGTGGTGGTAGTGGGCAGCAAGCAGATGCCCCATCACCGAGCAGTTCCACGCGCAGCGTCAGCCGCAGTGGCAACAACGGCAACGACGACGCCGCATCCAACACCGAAAACACCAACCACGACGATGACGATGATGGTGATGATGGTGATGATGGTGAGGGCAGCGGCAACGGTGGTAGCAATGGCAGGTCTGGTGCAAGACAGGGCATGGATGTGTCTGATGATGCTGACGATGCTGACGATGCGGAAGAAGAACCTGCCATCCCCACACCGGAGGTTGACCTGACGCTGCGGCGGTCTCAGCGGTTCTCAGAGGCTGTGCTGTCCCGCTGCAAGGTGCTGCTTGCCCTGCGCTCCAAGGACGAGATGGACGTCACACACGCCTTGGAGACGCAGCTGGTGACCGAGGCCTCCGACACGATGATGAACATGCCGGACCTTGAGCGGCTTCCCTCCCACTCGTCCACGGCCATGGCCACGGGCAGCGGCCTGCAGAGCCCGCTGTCGCGCTCGCTATCCCTGGGCGCCCCTGTGGCAGTGTCGCGCACGGTGAGCGTGGTCACGCTGGAGCAGCCCGCGGTGTCGCCGCAGGAGGAGCTGTTCCAGTTTGCCTTTGGCGGCGTGTTTGCCAGTGCGCAGCCGCTGTGCGGCGACGACGTGCTGAAGGTTGTCCTTGCCCACCAGACGCGCGCCACACACCGGGTTGCTGCGCTGCGTCAGCTCACCGCCGTGCTGAAGGAGTACACTGGCAAGAACGCAAGCTCGCGAGACATCACCTTGCACTACCTTGTGCAGCGGTTGGTGCGCCTGCTTCAGGCCACGCACCACACGCGCGACCTGCAGCTGAGCGGCCAGACGCACACGTACACGGAGGAGTTTGGGCACCTGCTCAAGCCACTCGTGGCGCTGATGAAGAAGTCTGCGCCCAGCTTCAAGCCTGCACTCGGACTGGCCGTGCTGCCGTATGGCCCGCCGGACGTCAAGGTGCTGCTCGAGTCTGGCTTCATGGACACCGTGCACGCG